TATTGTTACATAAATAACAAGTAGTTGTGAGTCCCAGCCTGGGGGATAGCCTAAAAGAAAACGGAATTTTTAATCTCTTATTTCACCTGCAGCACTTAATCCTGATGCCTTGTCAGTTAAACAGTGGAAGGAGCAATGGGCCACCATTGTTGGTTTGTGTTTGGGGACCTACCAATAGGTTTACACACTGGAATTGGGAGGAACACCCTTGCAATGTTTTGTCTAATTAAAAGAATGTTTTTAGCATTTTTAAAACAGTGACCATTCGACTTAACTTGATATGCATCCAATGAAGTGCAAATAGAGGACACAGAACATTAGCATTCCTACATTTAAAAAGTGGAATTGGAGGTCAGATTTTTCAATTACATTTAATTTTTAGTTTGGGGAATATTTTTATCTTGCTTTGCCTTCTTTTCTTATGTTTTTCATCCACCTTTCTCTTTCAAGTGACACTGGGAATGTTCCCTCCCCCAGTGGTGGGATTCAGCTGGTTTGCACCGGTTCAGCATTCATTGCACCTCAGCATACAATAACTTTCCCCAATCTGATACCCTCTAAATGTGATGGAGCCTAGCTTTCAAAATTACCAGTTGGCAAGCCAAAGGCCTACTGACTGTCAGTAATGGAAGTCGTAATTGAATACATCTGGAAAATAACAAGTTAGGAAAGACAGACTAATAACTATTTAAAATGTGAGCATTCTCCTGCCACATCAGATTATTGTGCTATCAGTTCTGCAGATTTTATTCTTCATTAAGCATATTGATTGGAGACAATAATACTTGAAAGGTAATAAGAGAATTTGAACATGATCTCTTGAGGTGATTGTTATAAAAGAAAGCTTCAGGTGGTTTGGAAGAAACAAAATTTCTGAAAAAAACCCCTATGTTAACAGAATAATAACAGAATAATAGAATAACAGAGTTGGGACCTTGGAGGTTTTCTAGTCCAACCCCCTACTCAAGCAGGAAACCCTATACCATTTCAGACAAATCGTTGTTCAATCTCTTCTTTGAAATCTCCAGTGTTGCAACACCCACATTTTCTGGAGACAAGTAATTCCACCGGTTAATTGTTCTGTCAGGAAATTTCTCCTTAGTTCTAGGTTGGTTCTTGCCTTAATTAGTTTAAGGTTGGAGGCTAAAACATATAAAGAATGGTTGCTGGGATTGGGTATATCTAGTTTAATGAAGAGAAGGACTAGGGGAGACATGATAGCCATGTTCCAATATCTCAGGGGTTGCCACAAAGAAGAGGGAGTCAAGCTATTCTCCAAAGCACCTGAAGGCAGGACAGGAAGCAACGGATGGAAACTAATCAAGGAGAGAAGCAATCTAGAACCAAGGAGACATTTCCTGACAGAACAATTAATCGGTGGAACAACCTGCCTCCAGAAGTTGTGAATGCTCCAACACTGGAAGTTTTAAAGAAGAGATTGGACAACCATTTATCTGAAGTAGTATAGCGTTTCCTGCCTGAGGAGGGGGTTGGACTAGAAGATCTCCAAAGTCCCTTCCAACTCTGTCATTCTATTCTATTCTATTCTATTCTATTCTATTCTATTCTATTCTATTCTATTCTATTCTATTCCCCTTTACCTTTACATCTACCTTCCTATTTCTATTCTAATCCAGCTTCAGGTGCTTTTGAGAATAGGTTGACCCCCTCTTCTTTGTGGCAGCCCCTTAGGTATTGGAAGGGGCTGCCACAAAGAAGAGAACCTCAAATAGCCTATTTGTTAAGAACCTCAAATAGTCTTTGTTCCTTCTCCTGCCATCCCGGCAGTCATTTATGCTGAACAAGAATAAATTCTTAGTATTGCTGCAGAGATGACACAAAGGGATGGCTTGGTTATGACACCCGCTGCTGCTCTTCTGGCTAATGAGTACATTTTGCAATATCAGTTCAAGAGCATCAGTGCGCCCTAAGTAAAAACATGCAGCAGCGTATGCCTCAGGCATTGCCATGAAAAGACAAACATTGAAAAGGAGACGCAGATAGGGTCTGAAAGCTATTTTTAAACTTTAGAGTACTGCAGGGCATTGGGGAGATAGCCCATTTCTCCTAATTCTATTAATAGTACTGGGGAAACAATGGCTTGGGATTGACTGAGAGGACAAGAAAGCAACAGACCTTTCTTTCTCGCAGCAATTCATTTCAGATCAAAAGCTCTGAATTACACACAGTGAATGCTTCAGGAGAAAATAGAAGATCTAAATGCAAAAATAGGTCCCAAAATAGCCCAGTTTTATACACCATGGGGTTTTTTTGCAACATTTCTTGAATTTCAACTTGGTAGACAAAGAATATTGTGCTGGGCAGTAATGGCATAAGTCTTCCTTCCCTGCAGGTAGCATTTATGATTATTATTCCTTCCTACAAGTTACATAATCAAAACCACATAAATTGTTGCGTGCTACATATTTTGACCCTTAGAATTAAGGCAATCTAAGCCACTAGATTTATTCTATCAGAAATGAACACAACTTCTCCAAATTATAGGCTGAACATACTCAAACCTCAAGCTTCAGCCATTTCCCTCTACTTGTTTCATATTTTAAATAAGGAATGATCCAGATTTATTGAGCAGGTCCTTCAAAAGATAAATGTAGGAATTAGCTCATTTGTCAATACCAACATACACACACAGACACATAGAGACACAAATAAATAAATAAAATTCTGGCTCCACTGTTAACTGATGGAGCAAAACAAAGCTTGTGCAATTTATAAATAGACATTATTTAAAAATTAATACTCTATTAGATAAGAAAGCTAATGGTATTTGAATTAATGTCTCTTGCAGCTAATACATTAAAATACAGTATAGCAAAGAGAAGTTCCTGAATAAGAAAATTGATTTGTAGTTTTATCCATTAATAACTTTCTGCTTTGCTTATAGTACCAGCAGCCTTTGCAACTTCTAGGTAATACATCTCTGTAAACCTCAAGACACCATTCCTACTTCAACATATCACCCTTTGAATGGAGAAAAACATTCATTTTAAGCGTGAACAGTATTTCATACTGATAGAAGGCCATAAAAATGATATTAACATTTATGTCTTCAAACATGATCCTTGGTCTGAAATAAAAAATAATTCCATGGAAGAATTACATCTATAAAACGTATTTGTTCTACTCATACACATAGCGTAATTAAAGAATTAACTGTTCAGAACCAGCATTGAGAAATATTCTATTTCCTCTATCTTTACACCAATTTGAAAATAGATCTGGTCCTCCCTGATTGCACAACACAGATTATTTTTGAGAGCTGGGTCAAATCTTTACAACTCTGCTGCAATTGTTTGCAAATGGAGCGAAGATGTTATTCAAGGTATTCAAAAGCAGATTCCAAGGATACGATGCTTGGTTTATTATCACCAGAGAGAATCGCAAGAACTTTTCTTTCAGAAAGAAAATGGGGCCTGTTTATTCTATTGTCCCTGATACTGCAATGTATTTCTTTTTAGATTTACACACAAAGTTAAATCATTACAAACTCTCACCAACCTTACAGGAAATAACTCTGCTTCATTCCTTTAGTTGAAAGGCCCTTTCAAATACAGGTAGTCCTCAACTTATGACCACAGCTGAGCCCAAAATTTCTGTTGCTAAGTGAAACATTTGAGTTTGCCTCATTTTATGACCTTTCTGGCCACAGTTAAGTGAATCAATGTAGTTGTTAAATTAGTATCATGGTTGTTAATTAAATCTGGCTTCCCCGTTGACTTTACTTGTCAAAAAGTCACAAAACATGACATTACAACCATCATAAATATGAGTCAATTGCCAAGCGTCTGAATTTTGATCATGACCATGGGGATGGTACAATGGTCGTGTGAAAACTGATCATAAGTCATTTTTTCAGTGCCCTTGTAACTTTGAACAGTCACTAAATGAACTGTTGTAAGTTGAGGACTACCTGTATAATTTTTTGGCTTGCTCAAAATATTAAAGTAGCCCTATCCATGACACAACAGTCTCCCCCTACTTCTGCTGCTAGGTGCATTGCAAGACAGATGTTGATTAGGAAATCTGTCAGCTGTTGTTCATCACATCTGGATGGTACCACATTGAAGAATGCTATACCAAGCCAATATTGCTGCTTAGTATTGCCTAGGGGGAAAAAAAACAAGCATTGTTTTACAATAAACAAGTTTTGGGAAGTCAGAAACCATATATTCACTTTATTTTTTACTTTTAAAATATTAGCATTTCCTACAAAATATAAATCTTCTTACATCCCCAAGGAGACGCACGCTCATTTTATCTGTTGTCATGATAAACTGAAAATGCACATCTGATTTTTTCTTTTTCTTATTGATACGACAGACAATTTGTTTAGTTATTTGTTCTAACCTCTCAAGACTTTAAAAGAAAAGTGGTAGAAAATAAACACCGAAGATAAAATAATACCTATGGCCATGTAAGGGATGATCCTTATAAAATATACTGTTTTTCTTCAATATCTACCATTATGTAGCTGTGCAACACTTCTAAAATGATCAAATATGCAATACTACTGCTACTGAAAAATAATTAGAAAAAGTGCATTTAGAAAAAAATCCAGGTAAGGAAGTCATATTAGACATTTTATAAATAAGCCCTGAATGTTTATTATTTATATGCCAACAGTCTGATATTTCTAATTGTTTTAGAAAGATGGCAGTTTGTATCTTTCCCATTAGGACAGAAATTATGTCAGTATTGTACATATTGAGAAGAAAACATAAGAGATAGTCCAGCTGATTTTTTTTTCTTATGAATGTCATGGAATTAAGCTGTACATTTGATACATGTGAATGCATATAAATTACCTGATTGAATTATATCAAACAATCTTTTTCTGTTTAGAAAAGTGTATGTAATAGATTTATACCAAAGTGCAATATAACATTTCTGGTAATATTGAAATTTCATGACCCTAGGGCACCCTCAACATGAGCAAAAACTACCTATGGGATGATTATATAAATAAAGCTATTTGAGAATAGAAAAGAAAACGTAAACATTTTATTTGGCAATGTTCTGATCAGTGAATAATGAAAAATTACAATTGATTGGTGCTTTCCAACTCATTTAGGAGGGATGGAGCTTCATTAGCTATTTACACTGTTGTTGCAAATAATAGTTAATGCTTTAATTTATCCTTCTTTTAAAATTGTAATTTCAAATAGCACTAGACTTGACATTTATGGTTGAAGATATTAGTTGTAGCACTTTATTCAACAATCTCAGCTGTTAAAGGCATTTTGCAGACTGGACGTAAAGAGAATCATTGTCATGCATTTAGTTTGTTAGGTCTCTGTTATTAATGGAAGAAGTCTCACAACAGACTCCATACCTGGGGTGTTTGTGTATGTGTGTAAATATGTATGTATCATGCACTTAAGTCAATTATGATGTGCTTATAGATCACTGTATTTCCTTTAAAGCTTGATGCAAAGAGAAAATCTTGTTTGTCAACAAAAACGTGTGTGAAGGATCTTGGCGCTTGAATATTTAATTCTTGAAACTTGACAAATTTGGCTTTTCCCGCATCCCAGAAATAGACTTGAGTGAAAGAATAATCACTTCCAAGAATAGCATACTGATAATTCTTTATCTGAAGTGGCTGGAACACCATGGACCCCCTGGACGGCATTCTTTGTAAATCCAGAAATTTGGATCCTGTCCATTTCATTACTTTGGAATCCCCAATGAATCTTGTTAGGCAAACATAAATATCTTCTTTCACTTTGAAGTGTTTGACAGCATAAACATCTTCCATATCTGGAATATCCACTGGGTCAGCGAAATTGTTTGTGCCCCTGTTCCACTGATATAGGACTGGGTGTTGAGAACTGCTTGAGATGATCAGGTGAGGCTTGGTGGCTATTTCAAGATACTCCACATCAGTGTCTCTGTACCATTCGTGCAAAGATTGGTCAGAATAAAATCCATTTCCATTCCACTTATAGACAGTGGTGATGCCAGCTTTTGAACTATCTGCTATTGCAAAGTATGCATCCTTTACAATTGTGAATGTCTCGATGTCATTAGGCTTTCTGATCTTAAGGATCTCAATATCCTGAATTTTGATAAATTTGTTTGCATGAATGTCTCTTTTGTATATATGGGAGCCACCGAAGAGCTGGGCAACAATGATGTATAAGCGATTCTCAACAATGATCGGCTTACAGACAACCACCGAAGTCCCTGCACAAAGATTGATATAGTGTATCATCAACTGGCATGATAAGGCCACACAAAGTTCAAAGAAATCAACTGTTAATACCTGTGATGTTATCAAAATTCCTGAATGTCCCTTCCACATGGTCCCATTGCAGAAAGATACATTTTCCGATAAAAGGCTGCGCGATAACCACATATTCATCATTCATGAATGAGAAAGTGTCCACTGACAGGGACTGATATGGTAACTTTCGAAATACGACAAATTCTGAAAAAAAAGTACATACTAAAAGTTGGTATTTAGTTGTTGGAATGTTATTGTAAAAAGTAAATCACTTATTCAAGGCACTGGTATTTTATAAATCTATTTCTCCTGCTTATTAGACTTTAGTCAACAAAAACAACAAAAGATGAAAATGTTTATTAACAGAGAAGAGCATTCATGCTTGAATCATAGCCAATTCTAATTAGCCTAATCCTACTGTGGCTGTTATGGTTCATCAAGTCACATCTGACTCCTGCTGACTATAAGGATAAATCCCTGTAGTTTCCTTGGCAACATTTTTGGGTGTGGCTTGCCAATATCTTGTTCCTAGTGCACAGAGAGAAACAGAGTGACTGGCCCAGAGTCACCAAGCTGGGTTCCAGGCCTAAAGTAGGACTAGAACATTTGACCTTCCAGCTTCTAATTTAGCAGCTCATCCCCAGACTAAACAGGCCTTTTCTTTCTTACTAGCACCCTGGGATGAAAATTATGAATATAGCAGTCACGCTGATTTTCATAAAATGTAATTAGGGCCCAATACTGCAAATAAGACACTTTCAGTTACTGTGGAATGAGAAACCTTGATCTTCTCCAAGCATAAAACAGTTTTGGCCAGTTAAACCCTACATAGTAAAACCATCCCATATAGTTGAGATTTCCTACCCAGCTTTGCTTAACTTCTATATTGTAAGGAATTTGTAGTGTGCATCTGATTTCGCACACTGACCTATCATTTGCTTCACTATGGCTTCTGAAAGTAAGTTACAGATAATCACACACAAGGCTAAGCCAAAATCAGTGGAATCTCATTGAGATTTAGGGCAATAGGTGAACCAGGCCATACAACCATTGTGTAGGTGTCTATGGAGATTCTCAGTCATCCAGGTCATGGTTGTCCCAAAGGTACTTTTTTCAAAAGGCAACTGGTTTTTGTTTTTCTTTGAAGACATTTCGCTTCTCATCCAAGAAGCTTCTTCAGTTCTGAAGCAATGAGAAGCGATATGTCTTCAGCAAAAACAAAGTCCATTTGCCTTTTGAAAAAGCAAAAACCATTGTGTGGGTTCAATCTCCTATAGAGAAGGATGGAGAGAAAAATCTCAACACAACAGAGAAGAGTCTGAGTTCTTGAAAGCTGCTGTGAACAAAAGACAGGCAATATTCGGCTTAGGTAAATAAATAGATTAACCCAATAGAAGACTGTTTGCTCAACCAAAAGGCAATTGCCCTTGAAGAATAAAACTTAATGAAACAAATAGAAGACATATTGAAGACTTACGTGTAATGATGCAATCAAATTCACTAGGAGAGAGGCTATTGATTTTGCGTTTCTTATACTCTGGTGGACTTTCACAATAAATGTCTTCCACTGTTGCATTTGTTCTGCTTATCCATGCAATTAACCATTTCAATTTGCAATCACATTTGAAAGCATTTCCTCTCAGGTCTCTGGACAGAAACAATGTTTTTGAAATATTATAATTTAAAAACTACCATTTGTTTTTTAAAAAACAGGTTATTAGTTTATACTATTCTTAGATCACTATTGCATGAAAGACAATGCGTTTTAAGGAAGAAACCAAGCCTGTATTTAAAAAAAAAACAACAACCTAGGGGTCTAAAAAAGCAAATGTATATTACATTTCCTAAGAGAGAGAAGGGAGGAAGGTAAAAACCTTACACTGAATTAAGCATCCTTTTATTATATTTCTGGATGGAGAGGCACAGCGTGGGTCAAGGGGGAACTAAGATGAAAACAGCACCATATCATCATACTGCAAGACCTCCCTCTTTTGTATGTGAATTATGGTGTTATACCCATGTACAAAAGGGGTGGAGATTGTAGAATGACAATGCAATGCTGTTTTTGTTATTTTGACAAAAGCATCCAATTTTGCAGATGCTTCTGCCTGGATTATGTATGGAGAATGTTGCCTCTGGGGGCTCTTTTTTTTCTTATTCTGGTTGAGTAATTCCTTCAGGCTTAAATTGGACCTGGAAAGAAATAAAATCCTTTGATACAGCAAAAAAGCTTTAAGATTGCTTTCTTCTTTGGAAATGTAAAATTACCTATTTTAAATGATTTTAGAAACTAATTACTAAAGAAGAATAATACAATATTATTAATATAACTTTACCTGCTTAAAATATATTCAGATTAAAAACAGAAAAGAAAAATGTCTGGAAAATAATATTCCAACAGAACTCTAAAAACTTTGAACACGGGTACCCAAAAGTCTTTTCCTTGCCTCTTTCTCAAACTGACCAATCAATGAACAGCAACTACAGTAATTCATAAGTTGACCAATAATGACTGTCAATGACCCACTGCCCCATATCAGTTGTAGATGTCTTTTTTCCATCTTGTCTTAGCATTCTTTAGCCAGTCCCTATACCACAAAGTCCATAATTTTTTGATGTCTTGCTAAATTCTGAAGACCAGAATATAACCAAGAAGCAACATGTATTTTTTACACATAATGACTGTTCCAGAGTGTAAGACCAGCTATGTATATTTCAGATCAAATACAATAATACAAATCATATGAATTAATATTTCAAGTCCAAAATGTATCTCCAACAGAAAAGCAATTGCAACTAATCTTTTATTAAATAATTGCTGTAGTGTCCAATAGGCAAAACTTTCTTCTCTGTTAAAAACTCATTTTAAGTTTACAGGAAACGAATTTAAAACAACTTTCCATGTGATATTTTAGCTCATTATTCTAGATGTCATGTAAACAATATAAATTTTATAAATGTCCTTTTAAAAGCAAAAATATCTTCAAACGTTGTGGTTGCTCTTTCACGCTAAAATAAGAAGAGCCAAGTTCAGGAAATTAAGCCCAACTGATTTAGATAGATAATACTTTGGTACATGTCCTTCCCATTAATAATCCTAGCTCATTTTATTCTTCTCAGATGTTATCTAGATCTTGATAGACATACTTTGTGCAAACTCGAATATGTTTCCAGATGCTAGGGAAAATGCCTGTTCTCTGTGTAGTTTTATTTTATTGCATACATTTCAGCCTGTTTTCTGCTGGAACACCGGGTCACTTTATTGTGGGGGTGTCTGCCTCATTTTGAACATTTCTTGTAATCATTAAGTTATTTGGGGTGGACGGATGTAACTTTATATTTTGATGTTCTTCTCATGTAGTTGCATTTGCATGAAATGGAAATATGGGACTGGCAATTGTATAGGGTTTCCTGCCTGAGCAGGGGGTTGGACTAGAAGACCTCCAAGATCCCTTCTATTCTATTCTATTCCATTCCATTCCATTCCATTCCATTCCATTCCATTCCATTCCATTCCATATACATAAAAGGGAAGTATAGTTTTGCATAAGGAGAGCCAGTTTGGTCTAGTGGTTAAGGTACCAGGCTAGAATCCAGGAGACCATGAGTTCTAGTCCTGCCTTAGCCACGAAGCCAACTTGGTAACTTTGGGCCAATTATTCTCCCTCAGCCCTAGGAAGAAGGAAATGGCAAACCACTTCCCAAAAACCTTGCCATAAAAACTGCAGGGATTCATTCAGGGAGTTATCAGGAGTCAATACTAACTCAAAGGCCCCCATACGCAACCATAAAGCTATATATAAAAGGTTAGATGGACAAATTGCTGCCTTAGAGCCAGATGGCAGCTCTTGGCCTAATTTCCTTGCAAAAGAGAGAAGCAGGTGCCAGAAAGAGAAAATGAGGTGCCAAGAGGCCATTCGCTACTTGCAATTATTTGCGGCACAAATAGGCCTTCGCTCCATGTCTTGCCTACCTGTGAACAAAGCACACTTAATTGGCCCTTGGCTGTTTAGTATATTTAGAATATTTTCCCTTTTATTCTAGCAGTAAGTTTGAAGACCCCTGTTGCAGAGCAAATTGTTTAAAGCAGCTGGCTCTCTTGCCGGTGGGAATGGCTATGGCTAAATTAGTTCATAGAGAACAGCTAATGCTCTCAGTAGACATGGCTGAGAAATTCATTCCATTCCCATTTCTAGGAAAGCTTATGAAGATTGTACTTTCCAAGCATATGAAGTAGTTTTCTCTTTCTCCCTCTCTTGCAGGGCAATTTGACAATTATAAAAAATGCACAGATATAATTTTAAGAAAATCTGCCTATGAGATAAAGTTGCCACAAAAACACATTACTGTAGGGGACAAACTTGTTTTAGATATTCTGCGGCACCATTCTGCAATCTGGCACACTCATTTGCCAGCTGCCAGTTTGCAGAAAACTGCCATGAGGAATGCTCCTAAATAGAAAAAAAATCTATTAGATGAATGAGATAATTGATGATAATGGTCTTGGTGGGTATAAAGCAGATAACTTCAGGCCCATTGTATGAGCAGTTGTTCCATAATAAGTATTGATGGGCTTTCCCCCCCCCCTTTTCATTCATAATGGGAATATTAAAAATGTATCTTACACATTTGATAGTGAATCCAATCCTTTGAATATGTCTTTAGGGAGTGTTTGGAGGTTATTGTTTGCAAGACTCCTGTAAAAAAAATATAATTAGGGTTAGATTAATCTTGCATTCTTGTTTCCTGTTTAATGAATTACTAGGATGGCAAATAATAACACATGCACTGCTACAATGTGATTCACTATTATAATCAGTTGTAATAGCAATTCCAGTAATTGTAATATTATTGTAATATGAAACTCTTTATTTATTATACCTCAAAAGACACAATTCCTGTTAAAATATTACATCCACACTCCCTATTATTCTAAGCTTTTCCAGCTGTCTGCTGTCTTGCCAAACTATTAACCACAATCCTTGTGTTTTTACCAATAAAGGAGAATATTTGTAGCTCAGGGTTGAAATGAGGGATCGTTGGTGCTCTCTGAGCTTGCTTGCTTTCTTGCAGATGTTTCATCACCCAAACTAGGTAATATCATCAATGCTCTATTTTATTGTTTTTACTGTTACTGTTAACAATGAAAAAGATTTCAGGGTATTTTAAGCATCCTCTGTCCTCAAATTCTACCTTTAGCAGTTCCACCTGTAGAACAGTAGAACCTGGACAACTTTAAGATGTGTTGACTTCAACTCCCAGAATTCCTCAGCCAGCATGTTTTTCAGTGTTGAGAAATACTGCTCAAGAATATCAGTTGCAATAGCTTTGTAGCCATGGCTTGTCTCATTGACATCTATGATCACACTCAAATTGTTTTCCACCCATGGATGCACTTCCGCTAGCATAGGAGATTTCCATAACATCATACCCTTCCGAGAAAATAATAACAGTAATACATTTGCTGTCATTATGCTGTTTATTATTCATATTCTTAAATGGGAAGATGACTAAACTATTTATTACGCAAAAAAATGTCTGTATTACATTGACTCAGTTCCAACTTATTACTGAAGGTCTGTCCACAGGCCAATTCCAAGGACTTGGAGTTTTTTTAAGCCCTTTATTAGAAAAATACCATGATACCAATAATAGTTCCACAATTTAAAAAAGCTTGTGGCCATCATCTTGACTTTTTCGAATCAAGAAGATAATGGTAAAAAGTCTCTGGAGTTGACCTCAACTGCTGGTGAATACTTGGGTGTTCAAAAACCCCAACCACAACTGCCCACATGCAAAGCTAGGTTTATGGTTCCTTGGATGGTTGGCTAATATATTTACAACTAATTCCTGAGTATTATATATAATTGTAAAAAGGCCCTCCTCTTCTGATCAAAGGAATCTGCTGAGCCAATATTAGGCAGGACTTTGGTGCAGTGTCACTAGAGCAAAGAGAGAAGCCACATAGTCACTTCCGGGTCACTGCTCAGAACTTAAGAGCTTCCCATTGCTAATGGTGCAGAGAGAGCAGGTCAGCTGGAAGGAGAATGACAGTGATGAAGTCTCTCCCCATACTGTAAGTGTCTTTGTGTGTGTGTGTGTGTGTGTGTGTGTGTGTATTACAATAAATAGGTAAAACACAGACACTTAACATATGAATAGCCTCCAGGTCAGCAACAGTGGTAATTTCAGGAGGCCCCAAATGTTCCTATACACACACAGAACACAGTCCCATTGGGTGCAATGGGGTTTACTTCTAAACAAAGGCAAACAGGATGGTGGCGTTGTGAGCTATTAGTGCAAATAGGGTACTGGCCCTTCCTGGGTTATTAAAGCAGCCTGGGAGATGAACACAGGAAAGGTTCATATGGTGGTTTTGGCCTCTTGGAGGTGGTATGCCACTCTTCAAGAGATCATGGCTGGATCCTTATCTGCTGGAGAATTATCAGCCAATTTCCAATTTTCCCTTTCTGGCAAAGGTTGTGGATAATGTGGGTTGGATGACATTTCATCCATTTCCGGCAGTGGTTGCACTTGATGGAGCTGGGATGGGGATGGTGTATCCATTCTAGAGATCCACAATCTCTTAGCAGCTTTCAATACCGTCAACCACAGTATTCTTCTGGACTGGCTGCAGAGGTTAGGCACAGGAAGCATTATGCACAAGTGGTTCATCTCCTTTCTCAGTGGTCAGTTTCAGTCTATGTTGATGGGAGTGGAGAAGATCAACTCCACGGCCTCTCTTGTATAGAGTACCGCATGACTAGATGCTGTCCCCATCCCTGTTCAACATCTACATGAAACCACTGGGCAAGGACATCCAATTCAGAGTGCAATATCACCAGTATGCTGATACCTTACTTTACATCTCAACTCAAGGGGCTATCAATGTATTGACTCAGTATCTGGAGGCTATTAGGTCTAAATAGGACCAAACAGATTTCAGCTCAATCCTTGCTGTGGCTATTGAGGATGTCAGCATCTTTGGTTTTGGATGAGGTTGCACTTCCTCAGTCAAGACTGGTATGCAACTTGGGGGTCCTTCTGGATTCACAGCTACTGCTCAGAGAGCAGGTCAGATGTGACCAGGAGAGCCTTTGCATGGGTTCATCTTGTGCATCAGTTCACCCCTTCCTCGATCAGGAGGCCCTTCAGCCAATCGTTGGTATCTCACAATTGGATTATTACAATGCATTCTACCTGGGGCTGCCCTTGAAGACTACTTGGAAGCTACAGCTGGTTCAGAATGCAGCAGTGCAAGCAGTAACAGAAGCCTCTTGGTGTTCCTATGTGTCACCACTGCTACGGAAGCTTCATTGACCGCCAGTTGGCTTTCAAGTGCAATTCAAGTTGCTGGTTATTATCTATGAAATCCTCTATGGGATAGGGCCCAGATATCTGAGACTGCTTATCTCCAATATTTCTGCCCACCCAGTATGTTTCAGCAGAGAAGATGCTCTCCAGGTCCTCTCCAGTAAACATGGCCACCTGGCACAACTGAGGAAGTGGGCCATCTCTGTTGCAGCATCCCTGAGAAATAAGGACAAAATCTTCACTCCTGAGCTTCTGGAAAGTTTTGAAAACCTGGATTGGTCCAAGGCCTGGGGTTGAAGTTTATTACTTGTTCAATGGTGCCTGCTTTGTTTTGTTGCTTTTGCTGTCTATTAGATTATTTTAGTCTGGGTGCCTATGTAATTTAATGCATTTGGATATTCTTTTGTTTTCCTTGGTTTTGTACAGTGGAGTTGGATGGCCAATACATTTAAACAAACCAACAAATATACTTACAAGTGAATTAAGGACTTCAGCCCGCGAAAAGAAGTGTTGGAAAGTGATTTGATGTTGTTGTTTTCTATAAACCTATAATGGGGTTATAAACGCAACTGGTCAAAGCTATCTCCATCTCAGGCATTTAACTCACTCAAAAAATCTTGGACCATAAATATTTCAACTCACAAATATTCTAGATGAGGAAGGCCCATGAAAGCATCGCTACTAATGGTGTCAAATGTGTTTGCAGTAAATAACCTGTAGAAAGAAATATTAGACAAAAAATAATGTGACATGGTCTTAGACATACATAGATTTTTCAATGCTTGATTATTTTTAGAGATGAAGATTATAGTTCCTGCTCTGCATATGTCCTAACAAAATGAAATAGACACACACACAATCTAGATTAGCTTTCTCCAACCTTACATCCTCCAAGATGTGTTAGAACTATATTTCCTAGCTGATCTAGAGCTTCAAGACACAAATATATATAATATACATGAAACCGTTTCATGATATTGACTAAATATGCCATAATTTAAAGAACTGGCATTTCTGAGTATTTTCCTACAACCCCACAATGTCTCCTTCGAAGTTCTAGAGTTTGCCTTTATAAGAAATAAATACAGTGCAATCAGAAATATTGTTTCAAAATTATCCTTTCCTCTAACACTTGAAGTTGAACGCAAATTGCTGCAATTTACATAATAGCTTCCATTGGAGCGCGCCAACACTATTCTCAACCGCATGTGGAACTTTTGCAAGGGCAAGCATTGCTATTCATTCCAACAAAAGGAACATAATTTAGGCCCACATCAAACACGCAAAATGGTGTGGGTTTTTTTTTATCCTTAAATGAACCACAAATGTGTTTTTGATGAACATCAGCTATATTATCTATGTCTATATCTCTGTGTGTGTGTTTGTGTGAGAGTGTGGGGGGAGGGAGGTGTTTCCTTGTCCAATCATGGTGCTCATCTCTTATTTCTTGGCTGAGGGAGCCAGCATTGTCTCTGTGAGATGGGCTGGATTGAGAGAGGGTGACCTGCCCTGAGTCACCCAGTTGGCTTTTATCTCTAAAGGTCTTCTTATTTCTATGTTGATATCAGGGTCTTCTTATTTCTATGTAGATATCCTATACATAGGATATAGATTTTAGGATTGCTATTTTGAGCTGCAGAAATCCAGATCACCACTAAAAGGCATCAAGGAGGTCATACCATGGTCCTCCAGATGTTTGCAACTCTTGACAGAATTTGCTCCCTGCTTTCCCCTATCTCAGGGGTCCTCAACCTTGGCAACTTTAAGACTTGTGGACTTCAACTCCCAGAATTCCTCAGCCAGCTCCGGCTGAGGAATTCTGGGAGTTGAAATCCACAAGTCTTAAAGTTGCCAAGGTTGAGGACCCCTGCCCTATCTGGTTCTTTAAGGTTAAACCTTTGCTTCCCACTTAGGTTCTAGGATGTTCCTCTCCCCACCAAACATGGAATTTAAATGAGAAAAAAAATAATCCTGAGGCACTAGCAGAATTCTTTCTTTCTTTTAACCTTTTAATACCCATGAAAGGAGATGAGAAGGACATGCTTACATGTACTGCATTTTATTTATTTCATTAGTCTATAGGCTGCTCCAGTTGTGAATAACTGAGCAATGTACAACCCACCTTTGTTAAGCGTCTAAGATGGAAAAGTATAATCCTCTCCAATTCATACACTATCATGATATCGTACATACTATAGAAAAATTTCCAAAAATATGGGGCCAAATTAGAGACGTAGTTAATTACATTTAAACAATAACATATAACCCTACACAGCAGAAAAGGTATCTAACTTCACTCTATAAGGAACCATCAACTGGATCAAAGGGTTATAATTGTTTCTATTTTTAGCAAATGCTCCTACCAATGTGATATTTGCACCTGAAAAGGCTTTTTGCAATACACATGCTACTTAACTCCCTGGACCAGTGCAAGTTACATGATCAATGGAATAATATTTTAATATTTTTCTGCACTGTTACAGCTATTATCTTCTTGATAATTAAATTTTATATGTTAAACTTAAGCATTATTTTTCTCTGATATTTCCTTTTTTACTTAAGGGAAGTTAAAGCAATTTATATTAAATAAAATATCCTGTAAAGAATTACTACATAAATTAAAGTAAGCAAGGTAGATTTACGAAAGTCTTTATAACTTAATTAAGATTGTAATTGGTACAGTTTTTAAAAACAGAATGAAATGCATACTATTGAAAGACTGACTGTATCCTGAAAAATGCAGTTTCAAAGATTTTTAATTTTATTTTTTAAAAATCAAATATATATACATCCAAATTAAAAATGTTAAGACTTTTGGTTATACCGGTAGTTTTATTTACTCCAAAGTTCAGTGTGCATAATGCAATTAGATTTAAAACATAGCAATAGAAGTAGAAGTAGCAAAGAGATGCTTTATTATTTTAAAATTTTCTTGAAGTATTAATCTCTAATATTGGAACAGTATTTTACTAATGCCTTACATTTTTTTTCTTCAACACTGAAAGAAAAGAAAATTTGGTTCTGGCCATCACCCAGATGTCCAAGAGCTAGTAGAATTTTACTTCATTCCCTCCCTGCTTTATGACTTTTATTTTAGTCACTTATCCTTTGTGGAATAAAAGTTTCATCAGATCTATCAATTCTCAATGAGATCATAGATCAATTGCAGCCAGGGATATTGTTTGGGTCATCCACTCTGCAATTCCCTCCTGCAGTGATTCTCTCAGGATTAAGATGACTCTTCATGAGACAGGCAATATATTTTGTGGTGGTTGCCCGTGGCATTCAGGGATTGTGGCATGTGATGCGTAAGTTAGGGGACAATATATCTGCCGATTTGAGGGAGGGGTTAAAGGTTGAAATAAGTACCTTAAGCAGAATCTTCAAATACCCACTTTGTTCCTTAACCTCAATTAGAAAAATAATCCCAGTTTGAGTCGAGAGATGCATTTTTTAAAAAGGCAATATGACCGCCATAGGCAGTGCTTTTTTTGTAAAAAAAAAAAAAAAAAAAAAAAAAAGGTGCCGGAACTCACACACGTTATATAACCCGCCTTGCCTACCCTACAAGGTTCCATCCCAAAAAGGTGCCGGAACTCCATTCTGGGCGTTCTATGACAAAAAAAGTCCTGGCCATAGGTAAAGCTTAAGACACTCATTTCATCCCCAATAACCTCAAAAATTGGACTAAATATTTTGCTTTCCCCATCCAAATGGATCCTTGGGGGTTCGAAGACCACAGGTTGTTACCAGTGGCCTAGGAGCTTCCAAGCTAGTTTTGCTCTCCTTTCTGTGATCTTTCTTTTTCATTGCTCCCTCATTCCACCTACCTGTTCCCCTTGTCTCATCTCACTATTAGCACTCCTTCCTTCCTTCCTTCCTTTCTTTCCTTCCTTCCTTCCTTCCTTCCAGTCCCTCCCTCCCTCCCTCCCTCTAAAGCAGGGGTCCTCAACCTTGGCAACTTGTTAAGACTTGTGGACTTCAACTCTCTTAAAATTGCCAAGGTTGAGCACCCTTGCTCTAAATAAGTTCTGTACACATTTGTCTTACTCATTGCCCTGAGCGCCTTTAGATCCCCAAGTATTTCCCCTAAAAACTCACTGGAGAAGCCATCTATGATTCTATATTTAAAATTTTAAGAGAAGGAACCAGAGAAGGAAACTCCTTCTTGATAATAAAAAGGGACGATGGTGATATAAAAACAAAATGATCACAAGAATATTATGGAGAATGTGATTAAGAGTCACTTGTAATATACCCGTTGAAAGTTTTAATTTTCAAGATGTATACGGCTCCTGATTTTGGAGGTCTTTCTCCCAATTTTGAAGCCTTCGATATGTGTTCAGCGGATTTCCATTACAAATTTCCTGTCCTTTTGTGTGGCTGTTTTTTAAATGTGATTTATTGTGGACCAGATTGTGCCTCTTGATATGTTCAGGGCTAGTCTTACTTTCTGTAGCCTTTCGATTGGGAGAGGGGGATTCTTGAAAACCCTCTCCCCTTTTTCATACTATTTCAAAAACAGTTCAGACTCAATCAGGAAGCACAAACTAACTACAGGTAGTCCTCGACTTACAACAGTTCATTTAGTAACTGTTCAAAGTTACGATGGCACTGAAAAAAGTGACTTATGACCATTTTTCACACTTACGACCATTGCAACATCCCCATGGTCACGGGATCAAAATTCAGATGCTTGGCAATTGACTCACATTTATGCCGGTTGCAGTATCCTGGAGTCATGTGATCATTTTTTGTGACCTTCTGACAAGCAAAGTCAATGGGGAAGCCAGATTCACTTAATGACCATGTTAATAACTTAACAAATACAATGATTCACTTAACAACAGTGCCAAGAAAAGTCATAAAATGGGGCAAAACTCACTTAACAAATAACTCGTTTAGCAACAGAAATTTTGGGCTTAATTGAGTTTGTAATTCAAAAGCTACCTGTACAAATGTGTGCCTGATACCTCCCTTAAAGCAGCTCCACCTGTCTTTTTCTGTTATAACTGTCATCACTCTTCATCAAGCTATTGCCCTCCTAAGATCTTGGACTACAGCTTTTATCAGCCAATATGAGGATGGGAGCTGTATTTCAACAAAGCTAGAAGATGCCAAGTCAAAGAAGCCTGATCTGTACTGCATATTCCTTGGGAATTACATTCTATCTTTTAGCCTTGCCAACAGTTTCCATATTCTTAAAATTTTCTTAAAAAAATATTCTTGGGAAGTGGGAACACTAGTTCCATCAATGAAGAAACTATCAAAATCACAAGGCACAAATGCAAATGGCTTCAAAAGCCCACCTCTCCTTCAATAACAATCTTACTTTCCAAAAATCACATAGGAGAGCTAGTATTTTGCACCAAACAGGCAGAATACGAATCAGAAATAATGTGGCATCATCTATACAAAAATAAGATGAGAAAATCAGTATCCTAAAATGCCCTATGATAAATAGTTACAGATCATAAATACCAAGCAATCTGCATTTCTCATTCCCAATGAGATTCTGGACCCAAATTGTACATCTATATATCAAAGGTATGATTTATATCTACTCACATTAAAATGTACCATTTCCATCTACAAAAAGGTCACAACAAAGCCTGCTGAGATGGCACACTGGCATACTCATGACTAAATAGCCGCCATGGGCCTTCCCCTTTATGGAGAAACATATCTTTTTTCATTATCTTTTTTCTTCCCAGCGCGATAAGGTGAGATTCTTGCCCTATTCCTGATTATGGTTTTTTTATTCTGAAAAAGATCTGGGAAAAACTGTATGTTCCCATGGTAACTATATTTACTCGTTTGTTTGGAATTGAAACCTCAGCTGAGAGCACATTCTGTCTGATCAGCTCCCAGTATATAAGGTGAGAAAGAAAAGGACATCACCTCACTGACAGAGTATCAGCATTAGAAGTGGATAATGATCAGTCAGACATAATGCTTAGCACTAAAGCAAAATTATGCCCTAGACCAATTCACACAGTCCACCGTGTGTGAGCCTGGGTATTTAAGATTCTTCTAAAAAAAAGAAGTTGTATTTCTTGACAGGTTTCTGAATCAGATGTATCTTAATTTATGGACTGCATTTTTTCCACAGAACTTGGGCTTTTCCTATAGGATCAAATGATGCTAACCAAAGAAATATTTCTCGGCTGTGTTTACTGCAGCCAACAGTCTTCAATCCTCACACAAATCACAAATATGAAGGATCTATCTATATCACTGACATGAGGCTTGCTTATAAAATTGCCCCGCTGAAATCCATGTTTCCTTTCTGAGAAAAGCAAGTTTGTTTAGTCAGCCACAACTCTTAACATTCAGCAGCACTAATTCTGAAAGCGTAGACAAATGATTTATGACGACCCATTATCCAGCCTCAGAAAAGACAGTACACGGTAGGGCGGTGCACACCGTACGGGAACATGGTGGCATTGCCCTAACTAGAATTCACATTTACTAAATAGGCATTCCACTAAGAGTGGTGGTGGATACTAAAGCACCAAAAGAACAGATCAAGACAGTGAAGAAAATATCAGTAATAATAATCTGCTAGGTATCACACACCTTTAATTACTTCCACTGGAAACGCTAGGTACATTTTGTTATATAATAGCTCTGCACTAGCTCCTTCATATAAAACAAGTATTGTACTTAAAGCCCGTTAGTGGAGCGCTTTTAGAGAGAGACACGTTTCATAACAAGCAATCACCATATAAACCGTTCTCACAGAAGTTGCAGATTGGGCGAGAAGATGAAACTCCTTTCTGGGATTTTCGTGAAAGCAGATCTCACAAAGGATCTGGAAGAAGAGGAAAACGGGAGGGGGGGGAAGAGGGGGAAAGAAAGCAAAGCAGAGGTTAACAGCGTCCGAGCTCGTCGGGGAGTCATTTTGTCACCAAGCCCTGGCTGGTTAACTGTCCCGTCAACAGGAGTGACAATTTCCAGCGGGGGACGGGGGGGGGGAATGGCTGTTGCAAGATCGACGCCGCCGAGCAACAGACGGCGTTGCATTAAGAGAAACGCGCAGAGGGATCCAACTTCTAGCCCTTCCAACACCCGCTCCCCGCTTTTGCCCCTCCATCTCGGCGGCTGCTTTGCAATCCCAGCGGATCTTCCCTCCGGCCGGCCGGAGCGCCCACCCGAGACCCACTGCGCGATCCACCGACAAGCCCCCTCTCCTCCCCCCACTGCCTACAGCCCCTTACAGGGAGGTAATGTCGGGCGACACGCTGCGCGGAATCGCCCGGGCGTTCTCACAGAGCGCGTTATCTTTGGTACAAGTGCACGAAGCCGGGCAGGCGGTCTTCCCCGGTCTGCTCCCATCGGTCAGCAACAGGGCGGAGAAAAGGCACAGGAAAACTGCCGCGGATCTTCCAACGGGTTGCCGGTCGGCTCGGCCCATCCTTTGGTTCCGTTCTGGTTCCGGCCAGTTAGAAGGAAGAAGGCGAGAGGAAGAAGCGCAGCCCAAATCATGAACGGGCAGGCGGGAATCTCCGCGTTTTTACCGAGCCGAGGAAGATCTGCGTGGAGAACCCGAGCGAGACGGCTTTCCCTTCATCCCTCCTCCGGCTCCGTGGCTCTCGTTCTGCCCCCGTCGCCAGCCCTTCTTCTGCCCTTCCTTTCCCCGCTCGGAACCTGTCGGGGGACTGAAAGGCTCCAGCCGCTCAGCCGTCGGTTGTTTGGGGATTCGCCAGGCAGCCGTGCGGGGCGAGCGGAACCTGCGGGAAAACGGGGAAGGAGGAGGACGGAGGGATCCAACTAGCTGGAGAGGCGAAAGAGAAAAAAAAGGGGGGAAGAAAAAGAAAGAGAGAGACTCGCATCCCCGCGAAACCCATACACACAGGCGCGCGCGGCGGCGGCGGCTGCGGCGACTACCGCTCTGCTGCTGCTGCTGCTGCTCGGGGTTGCAAAGTGTGACGCACGCCGCGGAGCCAAGGCACGGCTTTCACTTTTCTTAGGGGAGGCCCTCTTCCCGCGGCCCAAAATAGGACCACCTTCTGCTTGGCTGGTGGCGGCTGCGTGGGCGGGCGGTGTGTGTGTGGGGGGGGGGCTCCGTGGGGGGAGGAGGAGAAGGGAGGCAGGCAGGGAGGATCTCTCCACCCGCATCAATTTTCCCTGGGGGAAATCGGACTTTGCATCTGCCAGGCGACGGCCGGAGGGAAGCAGCCAGTCTGCGCGGAGGAAAGAAAGCGAGGGAAAACATCCAAAGGGCGGTGTGTGTGTGTGCGCGCGCGCGGGGGGGGGTGTTATAAAAACCCAGTTGGCGTAGGTGTTGAGGCCTGCGATTTCATTGCACAGGCTGGCTGGTACCGCCGCAAAAGAAACGGACACCTCGGGCACAAACAGTCGGCCTCTTATCAACCGAGCGTATCTGCAAACGGCCACGTTCAAACCCAGCCAGCAAAATGCTTTTCGTCTTCTTCCCATCCTTAAGTCTTCCCTTAATGCGCAATAGTTGGGCTTCGAGGCAAGGTGAATCTGGGCTGCGTCTTTTGGAAACCTGTTTATAGAGTGCCCAGTGTAAAGTAGAAAGCAAGGAAACAGCCATAATGTTTTGAAGCTCTGGGCAATTTATTTGTTATTTATTTATTTTCAACCATTTCAGGCTCCCTGCAATGTCTTCACTGTGAATCTGACACATAAAGAACTGTTGCATCACAGTGAAAGGTGTTAAAACCTTAACATTTCTTATTCCACTGCCAGGCCAATTTCTCCTAGGAAATAACTATTTAGGAGCTCTTTACAATACCAACTAAACATAACATTGGTCCATGTGCTAGGACAACTTCAGGTGTGCACTCTGCTCCATGTATTTGTGGTCTGCCATCATTGTCAATTTATTTCTGGCTCAGCTGCCTTGTACCCAAAATTGCAAAATAAAGCAATGGCTTCATTTGTTTCAAATCTCTTCTCCCCCGGAATCCCGGGTTCCCAGTAAAGGTTCAGCAGCTACAGGCAATATTGTAGTGCAGACTAGAGCAAGGTGGCTGAGGAATTATGGGAGTTGAAGTCCATCCATCTCAAAGTTGCTGCTACAAAGTGGTAATATCTTACGGTAGATGCTTAACATCTATCCCACAACATGAACTACTGTAAAGGTGTAGACAGGAGAAGCTACCACTGACTGAACCCTGTTGGTCACACTCTCCTCCTCACAATTGAAAGGAAGAACTAATTGGCTCACCCAGTTCTTAGAATTTATCTTAATGGCAGTCAAAACCATTTACTTCATATTGCTTTGGGGAGGCTGCAGTATGGTGTGTGTTCTCATGCTGATAGTGTGCAGGTGTCCATGGAAAAGTGGTGCCATGCTGGAAGTATCCACAGAAACAATGGCTGTGAGGTTCATTTGATGTACAGAGTCACAAACTAGCCTATCACATTTTAGCCAACATTCACAGATACCTGGCAAACACAACTTAATGTGCTCTGTGAAGCAAGTCTACATCCCACACTTGTGATTTACCATAACTCCATCATATTCTAACAATCCTACCCTTTTCCCACCATTGCACAGTATTGGCCTCATTTCATTTTCAGCTCAAAGTAAAACAGTCATTCCTAGGTGTGCAGGTAATCCCCAACTTACAACTGTAATTGAGCCTAGACTTATGGTTTTAAGGCATGATACTGTAGTTGTTAAGAGAGTCCCAATGTGACTGCACCTGATTTTACAACCTTTCCTTTAATGGAGTGTTAAGAGAACACAGCAATTGTTAGTGAACCCATCAATGGGTGGGTTGTTGGTTTTTTTGCCAGAAACAGATGTAAACACCAGAAAGTAGCCAAAAAATACTGAAAATTGCAACCATGTGACCACAGCTCACTGCAATTGGCCATAAATGAAAATATTTTTATACACCCACACAACTCAAATAAACATAGGAAGAACCAATTTCAAAAATCAATTGCACTTGTCCACAATAAGATTTTTTTCAATTAGTCTATTACCTCTATTTGTGGAATGTGTAGAGGTTCAAACAACATCCTCTTCCAGGTCTAACCTTCCCCCTTTCTCTTTATTCTTATCAGGAGGTTGGTTAAGGAGAAAAAGATGGAATATACTTTTGATTGATAAAATATCTTAATGATAAGATATTCTTTTCCACATACAGCATTCCATTACTTTATGAGTTTTCCACATTTAGTATCCTTATGTAGGTGTATGAGTATGTATAAGAATACACATCCAACAAATCTTTATATTTATTAAATATGTCTGTGTTTATGCTTGAGAAAACAGAATGTTAATATTTTCTGTCCTGGAACTTCAAAGCTGAAGAGATGGCTTCCACAATCAGGTTTAGCCACAAGTCTTAATGTTGCAATTTATTATTCTTATTGTAGGGCATAACATTTGATCTTTTATTGTCATTTCTGCTGAGTAGAATTCTATTCTAGTATAATCTGGTTATACAATTTTATGAATTATGTCGATGTTTAGTGGCTTATTTAAGTTGTTGGAAATCTGATAAAATGGTAGAAATCTTCAGCTTCAATTTGCATAAATTTTCTATTAATACCCATGTAAAGGTACCTGGTTTATTTTCTTGAAACAGATTTGATTACAGTTGATGTTCTGCAGTTCATTCATAATTGTAGCAGCTTCCTCATCCTATTGTAAATAAAAGACACAAGTCCTAGCTCAAATTAAGGAGGGTTCATACATCGATATGTTCAACATCCAAATAAATCAGATTGAAGATCTGTTCCAATATCTTAAATCCAGATGTTGAAAAGTCAAGAATGAGTTTTATGGATCATTGAGTAGCATATTATGGCTGTTTCCCCAAATTATATCTTCACCCCAAAGAAATTACATTTGTAATTTTCATCCTCCATATAGTTGAACGTGCTCCGAAGCTTGCCTAACTTTAGAATTTAATCTTAGTTTTAATTATCACTTTATATTATTGAAAAGTGGTTGTCTTCAGAGTTTATTTTAATAAAGAAAGTCATTCCTTAAAATTCATATGACCTTTCCCATGACCTAACTCTTTTCTAAAACTTTGCAAGGCTCTATAGTTTACATTAGGGAGTGAGTGAACTATAGTGTAGTTCATTATAAGCTGCTATATAAAGGGTTGAAATCTTCATATGGAGATGGCAAACAACATAATTCAGTTACAGTAGATTATGTGCTGACTTTCAAGGCTACATAACAGAAAAATAAGAAAAATGCAAGTCAATTATCATTCAATAAAAATGTACTCCAAATCAAAAATATAGTCAGAAGAATGATGTGAACTGAGCAGTAGGGTAATATGACAGGAACTGGAACAGATTAGAATAGATTTGTTTATAGCAAATTGTCTGAAACTTGGCTAGAAGTTTTTATAATAAGAGTTCTCTGGCTATTTCTCTGTCCCAGCAGCTTTTCAGATACAAGATAAAAATTTGGGTGTTTTCAGAAAGTCCACTTAAACTAAGAATTCTACTGAAGGCAGAGGCTTTACTGTGGATGTTTTACAAACTCTTATGCATTCTTGGGAATTCAGAAGAGAACTAGCTCCTCTGAAAAAGCAGCTGAGTTAATGATCTATGACAGACATGTCAAACTTGCAACGTCATGTGACGTCGCGCAACGTATCAGAGCTTTTTCGCCATTGCTGGCAATAGGGTAGGCGTGGTTTCCCAATGATGCATCCGGCCCATGGGCCAGCAGTTTGACACCCCTGATCTATGACTTTGTCCACAGGAATACAAGTAGTCCTCGACTTACAATAGTTCATTTAGTGTTTGTTCAACGGTACTGGAAAAAGTGACTTATGACCATTCTTCTTCTTCTTGTGCCATATCCATTATCGGATGTTGGCGATCATGTTGACGATCCTGTTTTTATCAGCCACATCAGCAGCATCCCAATGATCACATGATAAAAATTCAGATGCTTGACAACTGACACAGATTTATGACAGCTACATAAATCAGTTTCTTCTTTTGTAACCTTTTAACAGACAGAGTCAATGGGGAAGCCAGATTCACTTAACAACTATGTTACTAATTTAACAACTGCACCAATTCACTGAACAACTGGCAAAAAAGTTGTAAAATGGGGCAAAACTCACTTAACAAATGTTTTACTTAGAAACAGAAATTTTGGGCTCAATTGTGGTCATAAGTTGAGGAATACCTCTAGATAGAAATAAATCCATGAATAAAATCTATTATGGAAAGTGATGTGAACCTCCAATTTTTAAATTAGGCTAAAGGATGCAAGTTGCTCAGCACTCCCCTAACAAAACTCCCTTTTGATCAGGACTGCCAATGACCCACCCTTCCTTCCTTCCTTCCTTCCTTCCTTCCTTCCTTCCTTCCTTCCTTCCTCCCTCCCTCCCTCCCTCCCTCCCTCCCTCCCTCCCTCCTTCCTTCCTTCCTTCCTTCCTTCCTTCCTCCTTTCCTTTCCTTTTCCGCCCATCTCACCATCAGGGGCAACTTTTGGGTTTAGATGAACAGGATTAATAGCATCCTACCTCCAGAAATCATTTCCAAGAGAAGCAACAGAGGCAGTATAGAGAAATAAAATGTTTAGCTATTTGCTGTACTTTGATGATATCTAAACTCAGTTGCCTGAAGTGGTTGAATCCATCTAAGGATGGGATGGAGATTTTTTTTTTTGCATGATGCCAATTGTGATAGAAATTGACATTTCTTGCACTAATACCTTTTCAGTAACCAGTTCAAATTCTTTCATTCTCTTCTTTGATTAGTAGTTTCAGATATAGCTGCAGAGGCTCAAGATGTATATGTGCAGGAATCACTTCTAGACTGAGCTGAAGTCTACCGCAGGAATCTCTGCATGGATTAGGACAGGAGATCCCAATGTTTTAGATCACTAGCAAATTTGGAATTTTGAAAGCATGTCATAAGCACACTTACAGAATGATTGCCATGGTGGATTTAGCCATTGTACTCTGCTACTCGGAAGAAAACTCACCTCCCAGAATATTCTACTACATCTCTTTGGAGATGTAGTTCCAAGCAAGATTTTGAACTCTAGCAACTTATTCTACCAATGCCTCTAGGTAACATCTGGGGCCCAGAAGCATTCTTGGAAGCAAGATTCTTCCAAGACTCAAGAGTGATGCATTCCTGCTTTCTGTGCATTTATTTGTAATCAGTAAGAAAGAAGATGTTGGTGGGTAACCCAGTGATTAGAGGAAAAGAGGTGTGGAGTTTTTGTTTTGTGGAAAGGCAAACTGTGCAGGATTCCCACAGAAGACCAATTAGCAAAAACTAGTCCGATCAGCCCCTTTTGCTGTGGTGGGTTAAGGCCAGCCAATGGACATCATCAGAACCAACTGATAGGTAACCTTAGAATAACAGAATACCTGAGCATCTAATACAGGACCCTTGGAAGTGAATATTAATTTTATATCCTAAATGTGCTATCTTTGATTCCCCCCCCCCACCTGCATTTTAGCTTCTCTCTCTGTGACAGCTAGATAGTCACTGTAACCTGGCAACCAGAAATATGCAGTCACGTAAATTCTGCAAATCCTATTAACATTTAGGCTGCCACCTCTCCTTATGAATGTCTGCTTTTTGAAGAGCAAAATTTTGGCAAGCATATCTCCGTTGCTTTCCCTCTCCCCCCATCTCCCCCCAGTAGCACTCTGTCCTGAAACATCCATTATAAATAAAAAGAGTTAGATAGACTACTTTATTCCTTAGAGAAATAGACTTGCTTCTCTCTGCATTTCAGTTAAACCTCTTTTGCCCGGAAGACAACCCAAGAACAAAAATGTGTAATATCTAC